AAGAAGAAGAAGAAGAAGAAGAAGAAGAAGAAGAAGAAAGAGGAGGAAGAGGAGGAGGAGGAGGAGGAGGAGGAGGAGGAGGAGCTTAGCAAAGTTAAAATTAACCAAGTTTAGAATGCTGTGCAAATGCTTCTGACCCAATTATGCATCTTGAGTGAAGAGAGGCAGGCTGTCAACAGCAGGGACTAACAATTGTCTACTCTTAGAAGACAGGGGGAGAGGGGGGTGAAAGGGCTTTGACAAGCAGCTTTAAACGAGTGTTTTACATGAACCTTCCTGAACTCCCAGAATCCTTTTAGCTGGGCTACCTGAGAATTCTGGGAATTATTGTCTCAAGACAGCAGAGAATTTTCCAGCCACACAACAACTATAGATCGCCTTACTGGAATCTGGAATCCCCCCTGCACCCTTTTCTTGTCTTGCAGATCCTTGCACCAACCAAGAGTGTTTTTTGTAAGGACAATGACACAGGTATCTTGTTTAGCCGAGCAGTTCTTCATGGGACCTTTACATAAAATGCTATTGTTCTGGCAGATTTCACATACCAAAGAAGAACCTTTGAAAGGAAAAACAAAGAAAGACAAATGTAATTTGTATGTTTGAACACCAGCACTATGATGGCAATGTTCTCAATATCCTAAGAATATACATTCTTGCTCATAGGGTTGGTCAGCTTTGTCATGGTAGGAGAGGTAGAAATAGTATGAAGGAAAAGAAGATCTGTTGGTAATGCTCATTTTGTCTCCTTCTTTGTATATTTATTCAAGTTATGGGTCACCCTAGAACCAGAGGTCTCAGATTGATGCATGATCACGCTTTCCTTATTTCCATGTGTTTCTTTAATGTAAGACATGCTTTCTTGCTGGTGCCCTGAGGACATTTTCAGCAGCATCCACACAATTGTCAAGATGGTGGCTGTGATTGCACAACTGAAGCCCCCATCCCTTGTGTAGAGTTTTGATCTCATGTTCATGACCACCATCTTGACCTATAGACCACCCCCTCCCACCATGGATGCCCAAGGAAGGAAGTTAGCAAATTGCAGTGGGATCAGAGGCAAGAGAGAGGTTGTTGCTGGGGAACCCTAGTTTCATGGGAGCAACAATGGGTGGAAAGCATTTCAACTTAGTAGCAGGCATGGAAATCTCCCAGAAGGAAGATGAACAAATTACAATATCTGTATGATGACAGCATCATTCAAGTGCTGCTACTTATGTATTTGCATCAGATGTCATTACTCAAGTGGGAAATCCAGCCATTGGTTTATCAAGTTGTAAGAACCAGTTCATATTATCCTCAAATATAATATGGCTTACTGTTGTTTATATTTATGTTTATATTTCTATTCCATTTTTTAGGACATTTTTACTGCTCTAATCCCACTGGCCTTCCAGAAGTCAGTTAAAGTGGCTCTCCCAGAGGGCATCTATTTAATTAGCACAGAGCCATCCATGTGTGAATAGTTGTTGGGATACTGTTGAAATTTAAATTAGCTTTTTCTTAAGGATTTTTGCTTTGTTTTGTTTTTTGAAGCTTGGACCTGGGAGCCTGAGCAAATGCCAGATTAAATATAGGGAGTTTGTGGTTTGTCCTGGCCACTAGGACACCAAAGAATCAGGGGCTGACAGTTACTCCCATGACTTCCTCTCTTACCTAGGTTCAGTATAGTTGAATGCTGCCTCCATAGAGTTTTTTTGGGTGGAGGGGAGATGTAAGTCCCCTACCACTCTCTACCCCCACCCCAGCTCGGATCTGATTCTGTTTGTCCAAATGAACAACTAGACAATGAGCAAAATCCTATTTACCTCTGGCTAGAAGCCCAAAGCAAAGGAAAAGTCTTAGGACGCCTCCCATGTTGACCGTTCCTAAGGAGCTCTCTTTGTGACGAATTCTCAGAAGTCCCTGTAATGATATCCTAAGGAAGCAGGTAAGTCAAACGATACCTCCACCCCGCCCATTTTCATGGAAACATTTAATAAGTATTATGTTCATTAACAGAGCAGGACTACAAAAATCCAAGCAACTCTTCCAGTTCATATTTCCTGTATCTCTGTGCTGCCACATAGCAATAAGTTTGCAACCTAGAACTGAGAGCCGTTCTTACTATTTAATTAGTACAGATGCCTCCTCGTTAACTTGGGTAGCGAAAGAAATCAAATGGATCTGCCCATTGAGTGAATTGTCCCCAAAGGAGCAAATCCTCAAGTGCTGGGGGTTATACGTGGTGGGTTTTCTGTGTTTTAATCTTTATAAGCCACCCAGAGCCACTTGTGTGAGATGAGCGGTTCTTGTTATTTTAAAAATAAATAATGAATACTAATAAACTGGCTGGCTATCTGCAGATTGAAAAGAATTTTGTTTGGGAAGAATACCGCATTTAGTGTCAGCCTGTCATCAAGTGATGCGTCTAACCAATATAAATAGACGGTTTCTGAAATCCCACCTTGTTCAATGCTCTCAGCATCAATGCTTTTTGTATTTTTAACTGAACTAACTGTCAATGGACACTGTCAGGTTCCGCTGTACTTAAAGTGAAAGCACTTTTTATTTGAAAGTAACCCACAGGTTTATAAATGTATGTGTGTGTGTGTGTGTGTGAGAGAGAGAGACAGAGACAGAGACAGAGACAGAGAGATGATAGAGAGAGATTGATGCATGCATTAGAGGGAAAGACCTATTTAGGAGTAGTGGATTGGCTGATTGATTGATTGATTGATTGATTGATTGATTGATTGACTTTGATTAGGCTTGTAGGCCCAGTCAATCATAGCTGACTCTCAATGGCAGTGTTGTCCAAACTTGGCCACTTTAAGATGAGTGGACTTCAACTCCCAGCCAGGCTGGG